TATTTAGATGCTTTTGATTCCGTAAATTCATGTGCTACAAGCCCTACATACTTCTGTCTCTTTCTGTCCCGCCCAGCACGTGATTTTTTTAACCACTCCTATCAATGAACCAGTAGCTTTATGTCGAAATAAGTATTTTTACTGTTTGTAGTTTTATCTGGGACAAAGAAATTTAAAAATGTACATATTTGTTATAATTTCTTTTTTACAATTCTTTCATACGACTTTTATTTATCAATAGACAATATAAAATATATTTACATATTTCCTAAATTTACATCATTCATAGAAATATGAGGGCTCTAAATCTCAAAAGAAGTCTTTGGCCCACAATGCTCACCTGAGTCACCTTGGCCCAACTGTTCTTCTTCCGATTTAAAAAGTTTTCTTATATAATTTCATGAAAAATGTTGACCCCATTTTGTAGTTTCACCCTAGCCCCAAGGAATCATGATTTAGCCATATCTGAATCTACATCGTATCCCATCCTACATGTACCTCCGGGGGCCATGATTTGAACAAAAATGTTTACTACCCATAAGTGCTTGCATATTAATATGGCTAATCATGAGAATTTTTTTTCAGAATTGGTTTCTATATACATGTATATCCCCATGTAAAACTTTGATCTCCTATTATGGCCCTATCCTACCCAAATGGGCCATAGTTTCAGCAAACTTGAATCTCCACTACCTCAAAATGCTTGCATGTTAATATTACTTATCAAAGTCCTATTGTTCTAGAGAAGATCTTTAAATAGTTTTCCTAAATATTTCCATGTAAACCTTTGTTCCCCTGCTGGGTACATAACTCTATTTTTTCAGAATCGGAAGGGCGAAGAAAGTAGTGCACCAAAACGAAATAGTTCCTGAACTTGCAAGCAGTATAAAAAATAAGTAGGTCATCTAAACTAAAGATGCTTGATATACATGTATATAAAAGAAGAAAAAAATTCCACGCTCAAAACCATTTTCAGTTTATCTTTGAAAGGAAAGGAATAAAATTGTTTGATATGTGCAAACCCTGAATTTTGGAAATGTCCTCCTTTTACTTTCATTTTCAGATGTTTTTGCGAACATGTGCATTTTGTCGGAAAACGAATCGGATTTGCCACCTTGAGATATTTACTAGTGAGAGAGAATTTGACGAGCTTTCATTTGAGGGGAGGAGCTGTGTTAGAACACGTTTTGTCGCCTATAAGAAATGTATTTGTAAACTGTATCCTACCCTACTGTGGCCCTACCTTACCCCAGGGGCCATGACTTGAACAAACTTGAATCAGCACTACCTGAGAATACTTGATGAACTATCATGATGGCCTTGTTGTTCTTGCATGATAAGGTTGGTTGATTTATTACATGTAGTTTTACAGGTACTTCTCTTTACAAGATTGGAGTCACTTACCTGAGACTTCATCACATGCTAGTGAAGAGCTTCGAATTTAGACCTTTGCTCGACACTCAAGGCCATTGAGCAGTGAAGCCTCTTTAGTGGAACAACGCATGTCATGACACAGGGCCTTTGTTTTTTTAAAGGTCTCATTTCGAAAGACCCGCAACTTTCTCTTCAAAGTGCCGAGCGCTTTTGTTTCGGTTACGTTGCGAACCCACGACCTTCCGACTACGGAGCAAGAACTCCACTGACTGATCCACCGTGACGGTTTCTTTGAGAAGTAGATTTTAAAGATTTTTATTCTACATATTGCCTTGTAAGATTTTGATTCCCCATCCTACCCCAGGGGCCATATGCATGTCAGATTTGAAGAAACTTGATTCTGTACTGAGGATGCTTCCATATTAATGTAACTGTCACAAATCATGGCCTTTGTAAAGTGTTGATCCCCTACTGTGGTCCACCCCACTCCCGGGGACCATGATTTGAACAAAATTAAATTTGCTCTATGTCAGGAAGCTTTTACCCAAGTTTAATTTTTTTTCTGGCCCATTGGTTCTTGTAAAGAAGATTTTTAAATGCCCCCATCCCATTTTTGATTTTTTTTCTTGATTTTCTCCCCTTGGTAGAGGGCGTGGTCCTTCATTTGAACAAATCTGAATCCCCTTTATCCAAGGATGGTTTGTGGCAAGTTTTGTTGAAAACAGACGGACAGACAGACGACGAACAGGTGCTCAGAAAAACTCACTTGAACCTTCAGTGGTTCATTGTAAATCAAACCTTTAAAGCATCATAGCAAACCAAAATATCCCCCCCCCAACAAAAAAAATCAACAAGTGTGTACTATTGTTAACTATAGTTAAATATATGGTAAATTTTTGTAAGAATTTGAACAAATGTTAATTTGCACTACATTGGAATGCTTGTATATTTTAATGATAGGCCCAATAATAATAAATTAATAACTATGATATGTAATAATTTGTCTAAAGTAGGTAACTCAATTAGTGTAACACTTTTCTTCCTCGGGGCCCTCTATGTAAATCATAATTATACATAATAATAAATAATGTACATTTTACAGTAGTAATATAACAAATATACATTAACAATGCTGCTTTGCATGTAATATTAATGATATAATCCACATACAGTGTTACAATATAAAAATTGTAAGTTGATGGTTTGTCTTTCATGAATTTTCTGTCTTGAATTTAAAATTTTGAAGTGTTGGAAACATTCTATTTTAAATATGACCAATCATGACCCAGGGACCCAACTTTTCCCTAGGGCAACGATTCAAACTAACTTAAATCTGCACTCTCAGAAGTAATCTGAAATATCTGAGGTTTTCCAGGCGTTTTTCACGATTCTGATATTTGACGTGCCAGACGTTTTCCGGGTGTTTTGCACGATTTTGATTTTTGACGTGCGTTTTTCATAATTTTGATATTTGACGTGCCTGGCACGTCAAGTATCAAAATTGTGAAAAAAAAGCCTGGAAAACGTCAGATAGGGCCATGATTCTAACAAACTTAAATCTGTTGAACCTGCACTTCATGAAGATCATGAAGATGTTTGCATATTTTGAAAATATTACCAATCATGGTCCTTCTGTTCTCGAGAAAAAGATTTGATGATTTTTTTTCCTTAATATTTCCCATGTTTTATATTTTCCATTCTTAAACTCGAATTATAATTTGAACAAACTTGAATCTGCTCTACTTGAGAAAGCTTGAGTATTAATACAATTGATCACGGTTCTCTTGTTCTTGAGATTGTATAAATTCTCAGGTAAATCTTTGTTCCATAATTATTGTGGCCCAACCTTATCTCCGATAGCCACGATTTGAACAAATTTGAATCTCCTCTATGTCAAAGTCATTTCATATAAATTTCTTCTTTTCTGGCATAGTAGTTTTTTTGAAATTTTTAAATGACCTCACCATATTTTTATCTTTTCTTGATAACTCCCGATTTGAAGAAGACATTTTTAAAGGTAAATTTTAATTCCCTACTACCAGGGACGCTTTGTACCAAGCTTAGTTGAAATTGACCCAGTGGTTCGGGAAAAAATGTAAAAAGTTAACCAACAAAACAGACCGAAGACGGACAACTAGATCAAGAAAGCTCCCTGAATCATCCGGTTCAAGTGAGATGAAACCTTTAGTAGCAATTTTATGGTTAATATGTGCCAATTAAGCAAATTAAAACACGTGCAAAAACATGACAGAAGTTGAGCACTTAGTTTTAAATTCTCCAGAACTAAGAGTTGTGCAGAAAAGTTGAAGGAGATAATGATGAACACAATATATTCCAATAAATTTGATTAATAAAATATTAACTTCATTACATTGTTCGAAGAAACATTAAGCGTTTGTGCGAATTTGAAAGCTAACAACCCTCTGGTATTCATCCGCTAACACCCTATGCGAGGAGGCTAGTTCCTAAGGGATTTCACTGGCAAGCCAAACAGAATTGCCTGATCGCTGATCAAATCATCAACAGTTCAGGAGTTGTCCATTCCTTTGCTCTCTGTCATAATACTTTACGACAGATCGACAGGTTCCAGTTCACCGCTAGCGGACACTTGTGGCTAATTTGCATAAATAACAATGACAGAATGAACTTGATTATCCCCCTTGATTCTGACAGATAAGATGATCTGTTCTTTTATATTATTATCTTGGGTGGCAACAACAATGTTTGGTATAATCTAATTACGAAGCATTTGTACGTACACATAATATATTTTACATTGTTGTAAAGTTAATAATCGGCCTCAATATAAAACTCGAGAATCTGTAAGCAGACCAAATATTATTCCTTCTCTTGAAAAGATAACCGTTCAATTAAAATGCCTCACGGAAGAAATAGCCAGAAGGTGGAGGCGCTGTTTTGGGCGATGTAAGGGGCTTATAAATGATAAACATACCTCGTATAAGATGCTTTAATGAAAATCACTAAATGCAATAATTGAAATTCTCCGTATTTCAAAAGAAAAAAAATGTTGCAAATAGTTTTACTTTTATTCCCTTTGAAGAATGGTGTTATTAGTTCTGAAATTAGATGTGTAAATATGCCGGTAGGATGGACGCCTAGATATGAATTAATACGCCCTAAATCGTAAACCTTGATGAGCAAATGTCTCCATTAACTAACATTCTTAATATGTGTCACCACTTCATTAATGTGTTTCAGCTTTTTCTCGTCTCAAAATTCTTCCCAATCTGTCTGTTACTTGCTTTTTTAATTTCCTTTTTTATTAATTAAAGAGATTGTGCACGCACGCTGTCCTGCATTTTTACTCTATAATAAAACAATCAATTGGTAAGAAAATCTAAATCCACTTTCTTGTCCTTCGAGTCTTTCCAAGTTACATCACCACAATCTATAGAAAATATTTTTTTAAAAAAAGTATTTCATAATATCAGATTGTTTTTATACATACATCTTAAATCTATGAATCTCCTGCAGAAAGAAATTTCTACCTGTTATTACCTCGTCTCTCTGACACTTCGTGAACATTATTTCATCAACAAAATCTGCATTATCATTCAGTTTCCATTGAATTGCAGAAATAAGACAAGCGCTCTGATCACCTAAGAGAGATAACTCACTTTTTCGTCTCCTCAACACCAGCCGGGGGACCACACGTTATCAAATTTGGACGGATTACTTTTGGGGTCGGGGATGAGGGGGTAGTTCGGAGGAACAGCGTTCTTGGTCAGTATCTGTAGTCGTTCACTAAGTTGTTTTACTATATCTGGTTTTGACTTGGACAAGTCATTGTGTTCTGTTGGGTCATCTATAACGAATAATTTTCGTCAGTTTCATATACTTGTTTTTGAACATCATTTGTATATATCCAGAAGATTCAAACGTGTTTTAAAATTTTGGAGAAAAAAAATGAGTTTTAATCTATTTTATATGATTATGTTAATTAAGAGACCGCACAACTTCCTATTATAGATAACAGTAACCTTTCAAATTAAAAAGCTGGTATCTTCCTGCGTGCGCCTGTATCTCCTTAGCAGACGGTTCCGGTTTGAAAGCGTATAGCTGGTCCGGTTTATACCAGTCCGGGTATAATCCTGGGTACCCATCAATTAACTTATAGTCCCCCATTCTGTATAAGGAAGGGATTAAAATGTTACATGATAAATTTTGATTTTACCAATGGCAGTTCACTCTGTAAATTCAAAATTAACACCATCATGTAATTTGAAGTTCGTTGCCCAGTTCATCTCTTCAACATGAAAATTACAAATAATTGTTGAATGATAATAAAAAGATAACCTTTCAATTAAGATTGTAGTTATTCCGATGTTTATTTTCATTTATTTATAAGTCAATACCTTATCGCTGCATGGCCCTCTTCAGGGGCTACATCAGAATCGAAGTTGTAAATCAGTTCAGTTCGTGGGCCCGGGGAATTGTTCCTAATAGCAGACCACTGGCTCACTCCATCTCCAGTTAATACTGCAGTAAAGAAAATTTAGTTAATACATTTTATATATATATCATTTCGAATTTTGAAATTTTATTCCTTTAATTTCTGTTTTATGTGGTGTTGTGTCTTTCCCCCTCCGACCTACCTGGGTTACCACCTGCGGCCTCCACTAGTGTACTGGACCAATCAACTGCATGCATCAGACTGAAAATATGATAAAACTAGACGAATTATCAATATATTACTAAGGACAATTTGTCTCATGGAAGACTATCGAAAGTATTGCTTTAGTAAACTTCTAACCTTTCAAATGACTCTCCTGTTTTCTGTAGCCCTGCACCATGAACGAAAGAGACAACACGAGTACCACCTTCGTATACCGTGAATTTCCCACCTCTCAAAGGGTAGTTATTTCCAAAATACTGGGGCCAGCCACCATTCTATCGAAAATGTCGGGAAAAAAACTCGATAATTGTGAATAGTGTACCGGTTACATGTACATTAAATTTTTGTATACTGGTAACTTACGTCGGCAGTGAAGACAATGAGAGTATCCTCGTACAGCCCCGACTCCCGGAGTTGGTTTGTGATGTTCCCCACAGCTTCATCCAAGGCAGAGACCATTCCTATTATCATATACATGTACATTTTTATTTATTCATATTGGCTTATGATGCCAAATTTTTTTTTATCAATATTTACGTTTGCCTTCAAAATTCAAAGGAAATATAGTGTAAATATAAAAAAAAAATAGGATTAATTGTCGGTATTTGTTTAGAATATATGAACTCCTTAACTCTTGCGTAGGCAAATTAAGTAAATGCAAGACAGTGAAATACATTTAGTAGTAAAATATGGATAAACAAAGAATGTATGCATATATTATATGAATCTGACATGATTGTGTCATTGTTGAGATGTTGAGGAAAACTTGTTACAGCGATTTCTTTCTTGCTACACCTCTCGCAGTCTGACCTGAAAACTGTCGCCTTCCTTGTGACTTTATACTAGGATACATATCCTCATATTTCTTTGGAACCTAAAAACGCATGTCAATTAAAGTTGGCGGGGTTTAATTTTCGTTTATCATTACAGAGAATAACCCGCAGATTGTATTCAATGCTTCTAACATTCTGTGAATGAAACAATCGTTTTTGAAAGTATTATTTTGCTTTACCTAATACACGTCTGAGGAGATGATATTCATTTTCCAAGATTTACAGAAAAGCACTGTATGTACCCAAATTGTCTACATGAAATAGGAAAAAGTGGATACATAAAGTTAAGTTTTGTATCATTCATATGATAACCTGAATTGGATCGTGGACATTTTGGAAGGCCATGTACAAGAACAGAGGCTGACTAGAGTTGTGGTTCTTTATGATGTTCTGAGCTCTCGATGCAAATGTAAACTGGAAAAAAAGTTAAGCTGATACAATTTCAAAGTAATGTCTAAGATCTAGGCATTTATAAAACCTAAAAAAAATCACGAAAATCTCAGCAGAAAATAAAATCAAATTAATCAAATTATATTGAATAATCTCACATTTCAAAAGGATTCTTCACTCAGTTGGGACAAATTTAGAAAAATCCATTTTAATAATAGACTTAAAACCGTATTTGTGCTCATGTATAATTCATAAAAAATTGCTTTTTAGAACTACAATTTTTAATTTTCCGTCATGCAAATAAAATAGAATTCCCTTTAAATTGTTCTTTACTCTGTTTTAAATGGTTACATTGATCATTATGCTCATGAATATTTCAAAAAGAAACCCTTACTGTCCTATGAGTATGATCAATCTATTTAAAGATATTTAGTGAATGGTTAAAACATAACAGAAGAAAACAGAAAAAAAGCAAGTTTAACGTTGAGTTTAGGCGATTCAATATTAAATAAAGTGATTCCCATATTTTTCAATCAAGGCCGATGAAAGGCTTAGGACTCCTAACTCTTATTTAAAGACTGGTCAATAGAATTCCCCTGAAAGCCTTACCGCTGAGTACGTTCCACTGAAAGCCTTACCGCTGAGTACGTTCCACTGAAAGCCTTACCGCTGAGTACGTTCCTCAGACAGCCTTACTGCTGAGTACGTTCCCCTGAAAGCCTTACTGCTGAGTACGTTCCCCTGAAAGCCTTACCGCTGAGTACGTTCCAGTGAAAGCCTTACCGCTGAGTACGTTCCCCTGAAAGCCTTACCGCTGAGTACGTTCCAGTGAAAGCCCTACCGCTGAGTACGTTCCCCTGAAAGCCCTCCCGCTGAGTACATTCCACTGAAAGCCTTGCCGCTGAGTACGTTCCCCTGAAAGCCTTACCGCTGAATACGTTCCCCTGACAAGCTTACCGCTGAGTACGTTCCCCTGAAAGCCTTACCGCTGAGTACGATCCCCTGAAAGCCTTACCGCTGAGTACGTTCCAATGAAAGCCTTACCGCTGAGTACGTTCCCCTGACAAGCTTACCGCTGAGTACGTTCCCCTGAAAGCCTTACCGCTGAGTACGATCCCCTGAAAGCCTTACCGCTGAGTACGTTCCCCTGGCAGCCTTACCACTGAGTACGTTCCCCTGGCAGCCTTACCGCTGAGTACGTTCCAATGAAAGCCTTACCGCTGAGTACGTTCCAATGAAAGCCTTATCGCTGAGTATGTTCCCCTGAAGGCCTTACCGCTGAGTACGTTCCCCTGAAAGCCTTACCGCTGAGTACGTTCCGTTGAGATTCCTCACTGGTTTCTCATTGTCCCTATAATCCAGAAAATTATCTGAAAAAGAAGAAACATAAATCTACAAACTGAATACACAGCGATATATCGTCTGCCAACCGATTATTACTAAGTGACTTACGATTAATAATGATGAATTTGCATTGTCCATTGAAAAATTGTTCATTCAAAAGAAAAAAAGCAACACACCTCGAATTCAAACACTTGACTCAATGTATTAGTACTTAGATTTATATGTTTGTCAATAAAAGGATAGAATACTACTAACAACTGTTGCATGTAGAATTTTGATGAAAAACTGTATTTCTAAACTGTGACTTTGTTATAATGTCAAACGTATTCTTGGGTACTCTGTGTTGATCTGTCCATTACTACAACTGACTGTAATTCTGAAATGAACTCACACCACTCGTGTGTATAATGATCCTCCTGTGCGTTATAATATCCAAAAAAGGAATCGAACCCTCGGTAAGTCGGTGTGCAATTCCAACTGCAGAAACCCAGGTGCCATCTGGAGAAAAGGAATTAAACGGGTTCGTCAAAGAATGTCTACTCATAAAGAAGACCAGCAGTGAAAGATATATCAAACGTTTTTCGTGGTACTAACTTTCCGACCATGTGAGTAGCGTAACCAAGTTCTTTCAGTCTTTGAGGTAAAAACTTCATTTTCAGAGGTGAACAGACGGGTTGCCAGGGAAGGATCACAAGATGCTGCAACAAAAACAATCAAAACCCTTCAAAACATTGTTTGCCTGAATATATTTTCAATATAATATCCAGATTTCGACCATTTATGGCGTACCTGTAAACCTGCATGGTAGGGGTAATATCCGGTCATTATGGCGTGGCGAGATCTAAGGGGAAAAAGTCTTATTAAAGTAGGAAGTTAAGACAGCATGAATCAAACTATAGTTTACAGATTTAATGTTGATTATATATATATATATATATATATATATCTTACGGACTACACAGAGGCTGTAGGTAGGTCTGGTTCAGAATAAGCCCCTCCCTCGCCAGTCTGTCTATGTTCGGGGTTTTCATGTTAGGGTTGTGGAATCCCACATCATTCCAACCTTTCAGCAAATAATAGAGGTTACTTACTAAAGATTCAAATAAAATATTGCACAGTACTTGATTATGAAAAGCATTTCTTATACCATCTGTCTAACAAGGAAAACATTGTCTTCATTCATTGCTTCTTCGCTTTTGTTGTAAAATTCACTCTCATTTAACTAAATATACTTGAAAATGACGAAAAATCCTACATCTATTGCGATAGTCCCTGTTGTTCATATTTTATCTACATAAAGTACATTTATCAGGGAAATATACATGTATCAAACTTACCCAGATCATCTGCAACAATAAACAGAATGTGTGGAGATTTGGCATTTACATGTTTCCTTTGTAGCAAAAGAAACACACCCCCAAACAAAATAAAAACAAAGAATTTCAACACCATTTTAGCTGCTCAGATTAAACAGACTGATGGCGGCAACATGACATGATCTGATACAGGGCATAGAACAAATATCATAACTGATAACAAAGGATACTTGTCTTTACATATGTGCCCATACAGGTTCAGCTGTTTTATATATATATATATATATATATATATATATATATATATATATATATATATATATATATATATATATATATATATATATATATATATATATATATATATATATATATATATAAAACAGCTGATATATATATATATATATATATATATATATATATATATATATATATATATATATATATATATATATATATATATATATATATATATATATATATATATATATATATATATATATATATATATATATATAGTTGGAATTATATTTTATGCAGTGTGTACATTAAATTTCATATTGCTATAACTTTGTCGAAATAAAACGTTATGTATCAATTGTAAACTTTATGATTCCTTCCCTATTTTCAATTTCAATGCTCCTGTTAATTTTGAAAAAATCGTTTTATTTACTTTTAGTTTTATGGGAAGCCACACTCTTGCATAATACTAGTTACATTGATTAAACAGCTAAACTAAATTAAATTCTTTTTCTCAATCTTACGTGTGTTTGCGTATGTGTTTATTATGATATGATGCTTAGTGTTGTGTCTTGTTAGATAAAAGATACATGTTATAAAGTTCTCTGACTCGGCTCAGGTTTACTGATTTATTCGATGTCCTCTAAGTATTCCTAGTGTTTTCTTGATTCATGATTCATCTGATGTACTGTTAACATGCATGAAATCAAAGAAATTTTATTTTATTTAAATATAATATATTATATTTAAATATTCATATATACTCCTATCTTAGCAGGGGGGGGGGGGGGTAAATTTATTTATTTATTTTTTTGAAAGAGGGTTAGATGCAAAAAAGTATGCTAGCTCTCAGACTGTCTCTCAAACTATTGCACAGAAGGCAATTTCTCAGAAAATAATGAATACGTACTATTTGGTTACATTTTATGGGTTTTATTGGAAGAAAGACAACTCACGTTTTTATACTTAATTTCTAAGACAATAAACCGAGAACAGACTAAAATTAACTAAATATTTCCCTTTCTTTTTGAACACTTCATTGACTCTTTGATTCTTTGATAAGTCTTTTTGACTGTTTGATAAGCCTTTTTCTTAACACACGTGGAATTTATTAGATAAAACCACTACTGTCTTGCGAATTCAAAAGAATAATAATAAAAAAAAAAACAAACAAACAACAACAAAAAAAAAAAAAAATTACGCATCATACACTGTACCATCGGTTTCTCAATCATTTTTAAAGGGGGGGAGTATAAGCCTGACCTCTTCCCCCCTTGAAAAACCCCACACATACACGCACACTCCCTCATACACATACACCCTCTCACACACGCAAACAAAAAAAAATGTATTTAAAAACAAAAACAAAAGAAAAAAAAAAACAACAACAAAAATTTGAGAAGAAAATTAAAAAAGGAAAATGGAATTTTAAAAAAATTATTCTTCAGTCATTACAGAAAAATGTTGAATGAAATATCGGAGATATTGACCATGTTGCAACAAAAGTCGGCTTTTGAATGAAATATTCGATACAAAATTCAAAGTTGGTAAATCTCTTGTACTACTGTACCTGCAAACTTTTCTTAAAACTTGATTTGTTGAACAACAAACAACTAAAACTTTTCAAGGACCAGACAACATGACATAATATTTCTGGAAAAAATTTAAATGCTTCACAATGTCATGTAGAAAAAGAAATAGTACAAAGCTGGCATAACGGATAAGAAAACTAAAATCAATTCAATGTAATAAAATTAAGAGAACATTTTCAGTATTTTTTTTAATAAATTTTCATACATGTTTCAATACTGATATTTACTATTAGATTTGTTTAAAAAAGTCTTTTCTTCCAATTTCTTGATATCTATGCTTGTACATTTCTTTTTAAATTAATGTCTCTTTAGACACTTGTTTTAGAAATTAAGCAAAACAAATAATCCCAAAAAGGGTGTTTGTCTGCGTCTAAATAATATTGAATACATTGTTCTAACAATAATTGTAAATTTAAAAAAAAAATGAACAAAATATAGGACTACTGATTATTATGACGTCATAACTCCTGGAACGCAATTGTGGCGTCACAATTGAATCTCCAGCATTTCGGGAAATCTTCCTGGAACATATGGTTGGCAATTATCTGTGCTCTCAGATTTGTCAACCATTTCGCCGGATTTATACGTAGTCAAAGTACGACTGCGTCTTGCAAGTCTTCTTGACTGTCTACAGTCAATGTGCATTGAAGACGAGCGATTTTGAGACAGTAGGATCAACACCATTCCTACAGTCAGACTTACTGGAAGTTTCTGAAGAATCTATCAGTGAGTATTTTATGACATTGTTTTTTTACATTACTTGGTATAGATTATACTACAAGAGCATAGGTAGAGAGATCTGTAGACAGATTATTGTGTGTTTGTGTGTGTGTGTGTGGGGGGGGGGGGGTCACATCTTTTTAGGGGAAAGTACAAAAGTTTTAGAAAGGGAAAGTTTTCGATTTGGCCACATTTTTAGAGGTTTAAATCATATGTTGTCTGCCATTGCCTGATTAATCATTTGCTGTTGTAAGCAAATCCACATTTTCCTTTTTTCTTTCTCTTTATTGTTGACGGTTTGGGGATGAAAATATTGATTTCAATGCATGTGGTCGGGGCTTTCTTATTCAGATCCGAATTTTTTGTTGCCACTTGTAGAGTCCTGTTATGTTGCAAAGTTGAGGCAGTATAACAATTATTCTTAGTTTTCCTGAGTCTTTACAGATTCGGTATTTACTCAGATATTATAGAGACATGAAGCTCACAAAAAATTTTTGTTTCTTCTTTTTTTTTCTTCGAAGATATGACATCTATTCCTTCAAAATTTTCTTGTATAGAGAAAAACGTACACTGTGCTCCAGTAAGTGGTTGCACTATATACACGTATATCAATTTACCAAATTATGTAGGATTAATTACTTTAACACAAAAATTCCTGCATGAAAGTGTATCTTTAAGTACCATGTATATACTAGGAGATGTAAAGCCAGCGATATGGTGTTCGGGCCCAAGAAGGACTCACGGTTAGGGATGCACCTTAATATCGGGGAGCTCGTGGTTTATCTTTCTATAGCTACTACAAAATGACCAGAACTCAAATATTGTCTGTAGAATCTCAAAATACGTCTGATGTTTCTCTATTGTTTATAATCAAGTTTGACTCATGTTTTTTTTTTAATACATGTACTTAAGTTAACGTTTGATTTCACAATTCAGATTATTCTTTCTAGAAATCTATATTTAACTTTTAATAATTAAATTTTAGCAGTTTGAACAAGTAGATACATAATAGCACTCTTAATCACACATACAGTGTATGTTCTGATATGACCTATACAGGAAATATTTCAAGACTGCATAACATTTTATTGATTTCAATCACACAGAAGAATTAATTTTTGAGACACTTTTTGTGCAAAATTTGATATAATTCTTTACATTATTCTTTTTCCTCTTTCAGGAATGCTACGTTAAGGAACCTTTCAAAGTTATTTATTTGTAAGTGAGAAATAAGGTTAATATTTGATATTTTTTGCAGAGGATAATGGAAAATAAAGAAAGCCAGCGTTTACTATCCCCACGTGGGTCTGATACCCGGATATACAGCATCGATAACATCGATAACATTGAGATAAAACCATCCCGAGTTGCTGAGATAGCAAAGCGTTTGAAGAGCGGCAAAGAAAACCTCAACTCGACAGTGTTTAACGATCCCAGCAGAAATCCCTCTAATAGTGAAAAAGCTAGCATGCGTACTACACCCTACTCTAGACCATCCAGTCAGATTTCAGGAAATCGCGGTCTTGTCTCTGGAAAAGAGAACATAAAGGAAAGCTATGGGAAAGATGACGAAAAGAAAAGCTCATCAATTGTACGTAAAACTGGAGATCTTTTCCGCATGGAAACGGCCATTCCAAGCCCAAACCCTCGGATTTCTAGTTCCTGCCTCAGTCAATCCTCTGTAAGATCTACTAGAAATGGAAGTGCAAAATCCAACAGAAATGTTTATTGTTCTAATAAAAAGGATATGTTGGACCAAACCAGCCCTAGAAATAATGGAGAATGCTACTATCGTTCTGAAAGTAATCTATCTGGATTCGACAAGCAGTACAAAAGCAAAACCCCAGATAGCAAGTCACAAAGTGATCGCAGAACTCCTGTAAAAGAATGCCTCTCCCAAAGCAGAACATCTGACTGTGTCTCCCAGGCCGGTCACAAGAGCTCTGTTCGAGGACCTCTTTCCAGAAGCAGAAACTCTGATCAGGGTGCTGAGAGGAATGACCAAATTGGCAAACACACAGGGAATGTTGAGACATCACCCCGAGAAATAGAGAGACCTAGCTGTTCCCCTAAAAAGATCGAGTACCACTACGATGATGATTTCGAGGAGGACGAAGGTTTAGAAAAAGAGATAAACAAGAAGAAGACAGTGTCTTCTACAGAAAGCGAGGATGATTTTTGGAATACTGATGATGATGATGATGAAAAACCAAATGAAAAAGCGTCTTTAAAACCAAATTTGGTCCCTCTTGCTTCCGTCGACAGTACGCAGAAACTTGATCAAATTGGTCACGAACCGTTGGAGCCCAATTTTGTCAATCTGAAGCAATCTGATGTAGAAAAGGTATTTGCAAGCAAAGTGGGATTGGACTCTCACTTTGAATCCAGAAATGGGTCAAGAAACTCTCTTTCTTGTAACAAAGCAGCTGGAAATAACTCTCGTGCCGATTCAAAAATCTCATCCAGAGAATCTCACTCCGAAAGTAGATCTCTCTATAACGACTCTCGCGCTGGTGGCAGAACCCATGATAGGGAGTCTTACACTGAGAGCAGACTCTCAGCTTACAGTTCCCATTCTGTTTGCATGACTCCAAGTAATGATGCTAATGCTGATTGCACATCTTTGGATCGAGAAGCATCCAACTGCAGAACCCCAGGTACTGACTCTCGATCTGGAAGCAGAGCCTCAAATTGCGAATTTCGCACTGTTAGCAGAACTCAAGAAAGAGAATCTAACTCCAGTTGCAGAAAACTGGATGATAATTCCCCTGCTGATCATAGAACCCTAGCTTCAGCTTCTCTCTCTGGATGGAAAACTCTGGATAACGATTCTCATCCAGGAAGCAGGGTACCGCATAATGACTCTCGTGCTGATCGTAGAACTCCGCTTAGAGAATCTCTCTCTGGAAGCAGAAGTCCAGATAACAGCTCTCGCTCCGGAAGCAGAACCAGGAAAAATAATTATAGTCCTGAAAAATCGAACCAGAGTTTCGAAAAATTAAGCGGACATACGGGCAATGAAGAGACATCACCTCGAGAAATGGATAGACCAAGCTGTTCCCCTAAAGTGGTCGAGTACCACTATGATGATGACTTCGAGGATTACAAAAGTTTAGAAAAAGAGAAAAACAGCAAGGAGACAATGGTGTCTGCAGAAAGCGAGGATGATTTTTGGAATACTGGTGATGATGATCTCATTAAGTCTAAGAAACTGAAAGAGGCAGTTTCTTTAGATCCTAAGTTGGCCGCTTTTGCTCCAGTCAAACAACTGCAGAAACTTGACCAAACTGGTCACGAATTCTTAGAGGCCGATTGTGTCAAACTGAGACCATCCATTATGGAAAACTGGAACTCGGTCTCAACTCACAAAGAAAATGCCAACAAGTCACCAACTTCTGCAGAACAGACCACCGCTGAAGCCTGTGCACAGTGGGTTGCTGAAACAAATTCGCATACGGTACCTAAAGATCCACAAGATTTGTCTGCTTTGATTGCTGAGAAGATTCTTGGTGATAAAAATGAGTTCAAAATTACTGGAAAGAAAATCCGAAAATCTCGTAAAACTGCCCAGAATGAAATGGGGAAAACGAAACGGGAGCCATCCAAGCCTCCAGATCCTGTAAATGAGAAACAGAAAGAACGAAAAAAGGCCAAGAGAGCAAAGGCCAGGCTTCAGGACTTCACAGCCTTGGAACACCGTTGCATGAATGGTGAGAAAAACAATATGGAGGGAATGATAATCACCGGTACTGCAAAAAGTAGCCCTTATCTGAATCGACAAGATCAAAGGATGGGAAATATGAAAGGGACATGCTCTACCGCTATCGATCTCCCAGCTATTTCAAATACTTTGGATGATCTAAAGGTTAGTCCTTATTTAAAACAAGGACAAAGAAGACAACCAGCAGGCATCGCTCTTCCAAGAATCAATGCCACTCGAATAAATCCACAGTCACACGAACATCATGGCGATCGCAAGAAAAGCTCAAATGCTATATCAAGGCAACACAAAATGATTCAACCAGAAGAGGAAATTGGAAACAACCAGTGGAAACCGGAAGTGCGAAAACTTCCGCAGCGCCCGCGACAGATCAACGAGCGCACACTGCGAAAGTTGTCTTGCCCACCAACGCACCCCAAAGCTGAGGTGACATTAAACGGAGATGGTTTAGAAGTAACCATCATGGATCCTTGCAGTCGTGAATACGATTCCGACAAAAAGAATATTAAAATCACTGTCCTGCATCATTCCAACAAAATCTACAAAGAATTCCCCACTCATCCGTCCCGACATGAGTTATATCATGAGTACTCTTCCGATCCCGACATCATCAAACATCGGGCTCAGGGACCGCCTTTTGTAACAGAGATGAAGAGAAATTATTCCAAGCACTAGATATGTCTCCAGTCTCCCAATATCCAATTATTTTTTCATTACAGATAAAAATGGGGGGAAACATGTAATAATAACGTAAATGTGAATGTCAATAGCTGAGGATTTTAAAAAGGTCGTAAATTTCAGGAATGGTGGTGGTGGTGGGGGGGGGGGGCGGATAAAATTGTAGATATTGAAAATTCGAAAGAGAGCAAAACCAAAACAAAACAAAACAAAAAAAACAAAAAAACAAAAACAAAAAAAAAAATCCTACCAAGGTTTACCCACTTAAATATCTTTTTTGTGAAGCTTGACTTACAATAATTTGGCCCATTTGTTTGATTGTTAGATGAATTTAGTTCTTGGTTTACCAGTTGCACAGCACGTTGTATGTTTTAAAAAAAGGGTAAACTTAATGCATATCCCATTATATGTATTTTATAACTTGGCCTATCAGATGCTTAGTTCAATTGCATGTATTGTAAAACTTAGCTCATCAAATAATTAACCCATTTTACTTATTTTAAAACTAAACTAACAGAATGCATAGGCAAATTTACATATTTAAAAAAACTGTATGTATTGTTTGTGTAATATTACATGTACTTGGCTTACCAAATGCATAGCCCATTGTATGTTATAAACTTGGCTTCCAATGATCAGCCTATTGAATGTATTTTAAAGTTTGGCTTATCAAATGCATAGCCCATATATAATATAAGTAATGATTCGGTTCGCTCAATGAATATCTCATTAATTTATTTTTTTTTTCAAATTAACAGGGTTTAGTGCCGAAAAATATATGCATATATTTAAATTAACTTAATGTAATTTTGGCTAACCAAATGCATAGCCCCTTTGTATATTTAGATGCATATTTGAAATAAAATAACTTCAAAATATGTCTCCCTTTTCTCATATGTGCAACCCTGTGCAAGAAATTTTCAAAATCTAAGGAAATCTTTTCTCCTAGAAGTTGGCGACGAGAACTTAACCTCCTGCAGTAACTCATCGCAGGACTACATTATCAGTTCTCCATCTAGATCTGATCTAGATTTAACAGAGAAAAAGCTCAAATAAAGTACGATTTTCATGATATTTTAAATCATCTGGGTCCCTTTTCCCCCATATAAGTTGAAATTAAACATGGCAGTCATTTGTGTGTATGTGTGGGTGTTTCAGAGAGAGAGAGAGAGACTGTTTTTTGTTTGTTTGTTTTTTTTTTTGTTTGGTTTTTGTTTTTTGTTTGTATGTGTAAAAGAAACAGCATTACTAAGTTCATACTCGAACCTAATGAATTATATAAGTTACCAAAGTAATGCCAAATCTACCTGATTTCAAAATTTAAAAAATACTGATTATCAATTTTTTTTATAATGAATATAACACAGAAACATGTATATGAATTGGGGAAATACAAATACCCTAATTTATTTGACAGAATTTCATAGTTGAGTGTATTGTTTTTGTTTCATCATTGGTGTTGTTGAAATAGTTCAGGCATATTTTCGATTTTCCTTCAAACAATTCACCACAATAATAACCACAAAAAATGTTTTAAGTGTGTCAACAACCAAATTAGCACGTAAGCCCGACCTGTTATTTGAAAGTGAGTCCGCTTTTCGAAAATAAAAAAAATACTTTGCTATACATTATAAACATATATCTGATTACAGTCGTAAACAACATTAGATCTATTTTTTATGAACAGACTGTGTTAAAAAATGATTCTTGCATTTGAAGTAGTATAGAAATAATTGTTTATGAATTTGGTTTGATATTTTATTGTGAATATCAACTGTAAAACCTTATAGATTAACCCCTTGTGTGGACCTATTAACTCATCAGGAAAAATCACAGATCTTACTCGTAAAATAAATGGTTTTTGAAATCAAAGTATCAAATAAAATCGAAGTTGCTATTTACTTTTCATTACATTGGTTACTTTTCGAGGATGGAAGATAATTTAATTTATATATGAGTGGTCATCTTTGTCTGGACATTAAGCTGTAGCTGGTCGGAACTACTGTACTGCTACATATGTATTTTGGTCATTCAGTCGTCATGTACTGCGCTCGGCTTCATTTACTCAATTTCAGTTTAAATAGAATGGACATTCATCTATCGTGCTGCAATAGCAATTGGCTCGGATGTCACTTTTTGACAAATACATTAAATCAGACTGGATGTCCGGACATTCCTCTACCCTGGTAAAGAGATCAGCTTAATGAAGGGTTCATGATGATGGGAAAGGGGGGGGGGGCATTTAGTCAGACTTGTCTGTGATGGCATAATTATAGATCGTAAAACTAGGGATGGGTTGAAGACATTTGCTTGGGAATTATTCTATTTTAAGACAGGTCGCTTTCGGTGTAATATCCCTGGTATGTTTAAGACATACATAACAGATTTCATGGTACAATGATCAAAAAACCTGGTTGATTGAAGACAAAGATTTCATAAAATCATAATCAGTAAAGTCTGGTGTAAAAAAAATTACAGATTTTATGCTTCATTGATTAGAAAGGTCTTGCTGAGATTAGACATAAAGATTTCATGGTACATGTATAATTATCAGAAAAATCTGGATATATGTATTTAATATACATATTAAAGACCAGACATTCTAACTTTACTTTTTCAGGACTTTATGATTAACTTCCTACACACACATGCCCTACCTCCATCTTAAATCTGTCACTGAATCAAGTTACGTTCAAATCTTATTTTCTCTTGAATTTTGCAATTAACAAAGGTGTGGTAAAATTTTCTTTAAAAATTTTAAATGTTGTATAGGACACAATTGCAAGTAAATGATAAGCTTGTAAAAATACCAGTGCATTCAAACCGTCACTGTAAGAGGCATGTAATTCTGCATCTAAACACGACTTTAATGACATAGACACTAAATGGCTTAAGATTTTACATGAAAATATCAATAAAGTGACGTTATTGAGACTAGAAGAGTAAAGTTCCGTCAGTAATAAGTCTAGTTATTACGGTGGCACCAAAGGACACTTACAAGTAACACATGTACATCCAGCCGCTATACAAGTATTATAAATGACTTCGCATAATTAGGGCCAATGTGCATTTATATATTGGCTAATACTATTCACCGAAATGTTCTATACATCACATGATTGTTGGTACGACATAGAACACGTGTAATGACCTGACATTTCGTTTTGTGTACTCGATATAGAGAGCAATGATCTCTCCGCATTCCTGTGTGTGCCCGAATGACACCCACCTTGATAATGATAAGACGTTACGTAAAATCAAGGTGACCGAAATCATTGGAAAAACTAATCCAAATAGAAAACAGATTTTTCTGTTGTTCTGTAAAAAAAAATCTTCTTATACAGCACAGACAGGACTGCTCTGATACTGAAGGAAATTTTTGCTCGGTAAAATTTTCCCAGTTTGAAGATAGTAAATTTAAAAAATAAGGAAGGAAAAAAAAACTTTGTTAATGCAAGCAATTTAGCATAATATGTCACCACAAACTGACCCCAATTAATGCCTCAAGTTTTATTGCATGTTATAGCACAGCATTTCACAACACTGATACTATATTGTCACGTGACAGCAACTTTTCAACCTCCCAAAGTCTTACAAAAACTAATTCGTTCTAGCAAAGGCAAAGGCAATAACTTAATTTGTCCGTTCCTTTTCTTTTCTGACAGATACCACTGATGCTAGGAATAGTTCGAATAAGTTTCAAAAGGTTTGTATGGGCAGTTACTGAGAATAATGAAATTGAAAATAATTTTGCATATTTCGTCTGTTTCCATGGAAAGTGGGGTCATTTGGAAAATTAAAAATAAGGAAAGCAAAACTACAGTCTGTTATTATATAGTTTCTTTGAAGTTTCATTACGATTGCCACAGCCATCTGCGAGAACATTCGTGGACATTTTTTTTTATATGTGCAGCAATAATAATATATGTCGCCCAACTTCGTTCGGGGCGACATAATTATTTAAATTACAATACATCAAAACATAATATATTTTAGTTTGGCATGTATGCACAACTTGATATATATTTCCATCCTAGAAACCTTGAGTTTTATCAAGATGCACATAGTACATGAATATAGCGAAAATGTTTTACTTATAAAGTGAGAATTGGGTCTCGCAAGTGTCACTGGGAGTCACAAGTCTTCTGTTAAAAACGTTGCAGACGTCAAAATGGTCAGGGTTATTGCGAGCCTGGAGTCCAATACAAGAGAACAATATGTCGACTTTGTTTCTTAAGACAAAAAATAAAACAAGAGAAAAATGGAAATATCTGAAGGTTTGACTTTGTAGGGTCATCAGTTTATGGTCAAAAAGAGCACTAAGTGCTGCCAGATACTCATCAAAATAGTAATTGTACTTTAATAAATGTACAGCACTTTAGTTTATTACGAAGTTAATGACAACACTTTTAGTTCAGTTTTAGTGACAAATCTAGTTCAAGGCCTTCACATCTGACAACTTTTTTTTCTCTAATATACTATTATAGTAAAAATCTGATCTCATCACGTTGTACCCAGATGGTATTGGGGGACTTTAAATAGAAAGGGACACGCGCGATAACAGGTGGCGCTGAAAAAGCAAGAAGCTGCTGGGCCCTTCAGTTTGTCCAGAAATCCCTGTACTCTAGTGTAAACTCTTATCATAACCTAGTGACTTAGCTATAGTGTAAGGACTATACATATAAGATCAAGGTAAGTAATATACTTTTATGACAAAAGATAAAATACAGATATATATGTGCACAAGCAATGGACCACTTAATGATACGCACACAGAGTTCGAATTCGGAGAATTATTTTTTAAAAAGTGTAATAGTTCGATAGGGTGTTTATGGATAATATATATTTAGAATAGCCTTTTCTCTTCATTTCAATTGTCATGAGACCAGGATGAATGTGCATGAACGTTAAATAGCATGTGATTAGATTTTTACGATGCGTGTTGCATAATAAGGTCATTTGCTGAAAAAGGCAGCGAGTACATAAAATGAATTCGTTGTCAATCAGATAAATCGACCTCAAACTTTTCTGGGTCATTGTAATCACCCAAATAAAGGGTAACAACGCGTGTTTCGTTGGTTGTCTGAATTTGGACTGGTTACCATGTAATAGTTGTACACTTGCG